GATACATGTATTGAGAATATTGCTTTGCGTTGTTCACGTTTTATGTATCCAATAACTAATCATCTAAACTTTGTTTTCAATACACGAACTTTCTCACGAGGAAGATGTTCGGGTTTCTTAATCATCGTTCATGGCATAAACATTTCTAACTTATATTGTTATATTTCCCGAACAAATCGAGGGTATGAATGAATAATACAGTTTAAAAAAACATGGAGATAAACATAGAGAGAAAAACTCAATTATTATGTTCCTACAGATTTCAATCTATCATCTGTCATGTTCAAAATATACGAGTTTACTTTCGTATAAAGAACGCAAAAATAATTTGTGTAAGTGAATAGGATTGGTTATTAATTAAGTGACTCATTGTTTATTGGTCAAACGTGAATGGAAGAATGGCAATGTAAGCCTCCTCTTTAATCCGAAACAAATAATGGAATTGATGTTCAATTCGTTAATATTCATGCTTACATGGCATACACTTCATTTCATTTCGTTTATATAATACAGTATAGAATATTAGTAATACACAGATTTTTTGGACTTTGTTGCTTCAAATAGCGATAATATAATTGAATATTCAGAGCAGTAATCATTTAAACAAATTTCATAAATTTTATTTCAGATCATTTTTTTTTTTTTACATCCTACGGTTTTACGATGGGCAAATTTATATCTTATATGAGTTATTACTTTTCATTTATCATCACAGATATATATATATATATATATATATATATATATATATATATATATAAGCAAGTTTAGTGAAACTGCAATTTCTGACAGTGCTCAACTGTAGGAGCAAATGTAGATATAGATATAGATATAGATATAGGATATATATATATATATATATATATAAAACCTCCTAACGTAGTAAAGGAATAAGACAATAACGATACAAAATGTGTTACCTTTGTTAATTTGTTTTATTTGATATGTGAAAATCCTGAATATATAGTAAAAATAATTAAAATACTTAATTATTCGAATTCTCAATGACGGTATTATGTCGATTAAGTAATTTGTTTAGTGATGAGTGGGATGCTGTTTTGGAAGATTTATTCACCACGTTTAAGTGTATTTTCCTAATGAGTACCTCATAGAATAGAAGTCCATTGTGCTTCTTTAAGAAATAATTCGGTTAAATTATACACAATCGAAACCAAATTCCATAAACCTAAATTGATAGTCCTAAATATCATATAGTTCCAAGAACAAAATGAATCGAATATTATTTTCAAATGTAACGAATACCTCAGACTTACAGAATAACAAACACACACAATATACCGGTAAATCACATCGACGAAACTAAATGTATAACACATGTCTATATATCTAACAATTTAGATTTATAAACAATTTGATAAAGGTATTACAAAGTTTTGGTATGGGGTCATGAATTTGGTTTAAATGAACATATTGGAAGCATATGCGTTCCTACAATATCCATTGATCGTTTTCGCGGTTGAAATCGAGTCTAAAGTTCTGAAATTATAGATAATAAACTCTTTATGTTGTATAGCTCCCTCTCAAGGTCAAGATATTAATTTAGCTATGAAACGATGTTTCTTGACTAAAATCGACCTATTAGCTATTCTCGTTTGGAAATTGTAAATCACAACTACATATTCTGAGATTTGCATGGTCGCAGCTACCATTGTACGGCCATAGGCGCTATCTGAAATTTATCAAAATTTACCGGGAGCACCGGTAAATTTTTATATTGAATATAAAAATTTACCGGTGCTCCCGGTAAAAACAGAAGTGTTTTGGGGGCTAATTTTTTTAGTGCTTATAATACATCCACAGGGGCATCCAAATATATCAAATTGTAAAAATTCACTTTCCACCCAATTTTCAAAATTTCCCAAAACTTTGTATTACCTTTAATAAAAGGTGAAACCTACAATTTCCTGAAAAAATGATTTGTGTAAAGCTTGAGGGTATAAACAACCCAAGAATAACTTTACTTGGCATTATTATATGAAGAAAATACAGGACAAGATAAACCCACGAAACCTTGATCTAATGATGAAGGGAGATTACACCTCAAACACCCACATCCAGACACGTACACACACCCACATACACACACAAATTGTTTAAAAGAATCTCAGGGTATATTAAAACCAGTCCTTAGCTTCTCATTCTTGGTCTTGCTTTTAATTCCATGCACGCTCTACCATACTCGCAAAGCCATCATTTTGATGCACAAATAAACTACTAAGACACAATAAAACGATGGAATTCCAAACTTTTTCCGTTGAGGTAATACAAATCTATATTTGCACTTGAAAGACCATAATATCAGCCAGAGAAGCAAAGTGTTGATAACAATGACATCAATCTACATATACAAAATAATGTCCTAAATTCAACGTAAATATGTAGGCTTTATACATTTGGCTAATACACAGCATGTCATGTTTCCAAACAAAATGTTTCTGTGAGATTTGAGGAAAACAAGAGAATTAGGGATGATTTCATGTTATTATTTTGTATTCCACCGACATAAAGTTAAAGGAATCTTATACAGTATCATGATTTTAAATTGGTGAAATTAGTAAAAATTTACAGACAAGCTTTCCGTCAACTACAGAGAAGTTTGTATTGCAATATAAAAGAAAGACTGCAAAATAATTGTATTGCAATTTAGCAGCTGCATTTAGCCAATATAATACATTATGCTCATCTGTACACCTAGTCTAGATTTCCCCCTTTTTTCACGGGATCCCTAAATTTCACACCAATTACAAAACGACACGACTATCTCCCTTTTCAGCATTGAAGGCGTGATATTTTCTCAGCAGATCGGACGACATGGTAACAGCATAAGCATTAAGACTCTTGTACACCTTCGAGAGTTTGAGTGAGACTCATGTCACACTGAAGGGACCGAAACCACGTTGGCAACAGATCAAACCAAATATTACATTACATTCATTGGGTCAATTTAGAATTGGCTTGGAATCGATTTGGCTGCATGACTGAAGTTTGTTAATCACATTTACTATGAAACACACTTCATGAATGAAGTAATAGTAATCATATTTACTATGAAACACAAAGGCTAAAGCATCAATGAAGTAATAGTGATCATATTTATTATGAAACACAAAGCATGAATGAAGTAAAAGTGATCATATTTACTATGAAACACAAAGCATGAATGAAGTAAAAGTGATCATATTTACTATGAAACACAAAGCATGAATGAAGTAATAGTAATCACATTTACTATGAAACACCAAAGCATGAATGAAGTAATAGTAATCACATTTACTATGAAACACCAAAGCACGAATAAAGTAATAGTAATCATATGCACTATGAAACACAAAGCATGAATGAAGTAAAAGTGATATTTACTACGAAACACAAAGCATGAATGAAGTAATAGTAATCATATTTACTATTAGACACAAAGCAAGAATGAAGTAATACTAATAATATTTACTATGAAACACACAGCATAAATTAAGTAATAGTAATCATATGTACTATGAAAAACAAAGCATGAATGAGGTAATGGTAATTATATACCTCATTTAAGAAATCCAGCCATCTGATTGGTCGAATTGCATTCATAAACTTCAACTGTTCCTGTAAAATTCCCGGTAACCATGCATAAAACATTTCAATATTTTTAATAACCATGGTTATTAAAAAAATAGGTCAGTCTCCATGGTTACCCCATAGGTTTACATGTTAAAAAATGGTTTGAGCGATGGAGGATACCATACGTGTGCGAAAAATTGGTCGGCAATTTCAATACAATTGAATCTCGATCGATCTTACCGACAATTTTATCTTGCATTGTTGACATGAAGACGAAAATTAACTCTCAAAAACAAAAAAACAACATCTGCCGATAGATCTTGATCTAAGTTCGTGCCAATATGCATTGCAAAAGTAAAAGAAGAGTCCGTATATGGAGCTTTTGCGAAGCATTCATCACACGCGAAGCCGGTTTCAATCCATTTTAATGTATATATCGTACAAAACTGCCAAGCATTTTGATAGCGCGCGATGGCCGAGAGGTCTGAGGCGCTGACTGAAGATACAACACCTTTTGTACGCAAGAGTTCGAATCTCATCTTCGACCAAAAAAAAAGGATTTTTTATTTTTTATTTTTTAGTCTATTTTTTTTCGGCATATAAAAGTATTAATGACTGCTTTAATATTCGAGAAATAGTTGTTTTCATACGCTCTCGGGAAGGTTACAATTGGGCTATTCCCCTCGGCAAGCCTCGGGGAATAGCACAATTCTAACCTTCCCTTGAGCGTAATAAAACAACTATTTCTCTCAAAGCAGTCATTAATACTATACCATATACACAAAGCGTGAATGAAGTAATAGTAATCATATACACAAAGCGTGAATGAAGTAATAGTAATCACATTTACTATGAAACACACAGCATAAATGAAGTAATAGTAATCATATGTACTATGAAACACAAAGCATGAATGAAATAATAGTAATCATATTTACTATGAAATACACAGTATGAATGAAGTAATAGTAATCATATTTACTATGAAACACACAGCATAAATTAAGTAATAGTAATCATATGTACTATGAAAAACAAAGCATGAATGAGGTAATGGTAACCATATGTACTCTGAAACACACTTCATGAATGAAATAATAGTAATCATATTTACTATTAGACACAAAGTATGAATGAAGTAATAGTAATCATATTTACTATGAAACACATAGTAAATTAAGTAATAGTAATCATATTTACTATGAAACACAAAGCATGAATGAAATAATAGTAATCATATTTACTATTAGACACAAAGCATGAATGAAGTAATACTAATCATATTTAATATGAAACACACAGCATGAATTAAGTAATAGTAATCATATGTACTATGAAAAACAAAGCATGAATGAGGTAATGGTAACCATATGTACTCTGAAACACAAAGAAAAAATGAAGTAATAGTAATCATATACACAAAGCATGAATAAAGTAATAGTGATAATATTTACTATGAAACACACAGCATCAATGAAGTAATAATGATCATATTTACTATGAAATACACAGCATGACTAAAGTAATTGTATTTACTATCAAACAAACTTGCCTGTATTCTAATATGATTTAAACCTTACGTTTGGTAAAGGCTTGTTTACAAATTGTAAGTTTTATCAGTTTCTATTTCTTTATACGTTAATTTACACGGTCGGTCAGGTTTTGCTCAATGAGTTCAAATGGACCATGCATTTTAAATGCAGCTTAATCATACATATATATTCATAAATATTCATTTATCGAATGTAAATAAACTACATGGTACATACATTTTAATTCTCTAATTATGGATTACATTTACATCTATATCTTAAAATTTCCACTAAAACACCAGCATTTTTCAGGTAAAAAAAAACATTAGTATTATTCAAATAATTAAACAAAAACAAACGTCAAACACAGACTGGCATTTAACAATCAGTATAAGGAACTTCTTGTAAATTAACCCTCAATATTACTGTCGGGTACAACGCTTAGGGCCAGCCATTCATCCCTACTCTGCACATTTTGTTTTATAAACCAAGGTTGAAAGAAAAAATAAAATGTAAAATCTCTTCCAATATACAAATGCTATATCGGTACTTATGCTATGAAGTACGAAAATAGAAAAGTGAGAATCTAACTTTAGGAAAATAGAATCAGTCATGATTATGACATACTCTGCCAACTGAAATAAGCAAATCAGTAAAAAACAAAACTTTATTAAACCTAATTAAGATACAAGTGTTGCTAAACATTCATCTATACTTTTCAAATAGAAAAGTATGGACTGTTACATTTTATACATTTTATAAGGATAAAATCCTCTGCTTGGAGCCTGAAAGGACGTTATCTCTGTGTAAAATGTATTAATTTACACCCTTCTTGTTCCAGACTGACAGGAACATGTTTACACAATACGCTGCAGTTACACATAAAAGCAAATTTAAAAAACATCATGAGAGCTCTGTGGCTACCAATTTTCATAAGCTCGGCTCACAGTATTGTTAATCTCTCTCCTTCACTTACAGTGCGTATAAAAAGATATACATAATAAGCTGCTAATTCTTATCTGCTTTATATTTTCATCATTATTGGCAGTCTGTTTCGCTGGCATTGCATAAATAGTCTGGTAAGCTGTGGCAAGAGTACCTGATAGATTCACTAACAATACCCTTCTTTAGTTTGGATGCAGTTCTGAATTGAGTTCACAAAGCTGTACACGGAATCCATTACTAGGTCCGATCTCTCTATTAGGTCTTATCTCTTTATTAATATAATACACATGTTTGTATATTTTCATCATTATTGGTAGTCATATTTGCTAGTATTGCATAAATGGTCTGGTCAGCTGTAGCAAGAGTATCTGAGAGATTCACTAACGATCGACTTCTTTAGTTTGGATGCAGTTCTGAATTGAGTTCACTAAGCTGTACACGAAATCCATCACTAGGTCCGATCTCTCAATCTAAGTCCAATCTCTTCATAAATGTAATATATTTTTCATCATTATTTGCATTCATTTTCGCTAGTATTGCATAAATGATCTGGTAAGCTGTAGCAAAAGTATCTGATAGATTCCCTAGCGGTCAACTTCATTAGTTTGGATGCAGTTCTGAAATGAGTTCACAAAGCTGTACACGGAATCCATTACTAATACTAGGTCTGATCTCTCAATTAGGTCTAATCTCTTTATTAATATAATATACATGTTTTGTATATATTTCATCATTATTTGCATTCAGTTTTCGCTACTATTGCATACATAGTCTAGTAATCTGTAGCAAGAGAACCTGATAGATTCACTAACGATACTCTTCTTTAGTTTGGATGCAGTTCTGAAATGAGTTCACAAAGCTGTACACAGAATCCATTACTAATACTAGGTCTGATCTCTCAATTAGGTCTAATCTCTTTATTAATATAATATACATGTTTTGTATATATTTCATCATTATTTGCATTCAGTTTTCGCTACTATTGCATACATAGTCTAGTAATCTGTAGCAAGAGAACCTGATAGATTCACTAACGATACCCTTCTTTAGTTTGGATGCAGTTCTGAAATGAGTTCACAAAGCTGTACACAGAATCCATTACTAAGACTAGGTCTGATCTCTCAATTAGGTCTAATCTCTTTATTAATATAATATACATGTTTTGTATATATTTCATCATTATTTGCATTCAGTTTTCGCTACTATTGCATACATAGTCTAGTAATCTGTAGCAAGAGAACCTGATAGATTCACTAACGATACCCTTCTTTAGTTTGGATGCAGTTCTGAATTGAGTTCACAAAGCTGTACACGGAATCCATTACTAGGTCCGATCTCTCTATTAGGTCTTATCTCTTTATTAATATAATACACATGTTTGTATATTTTCATCATTATTGGTAGTCATATTTGCTAGTATTGCATAAATGGTCTGGTCAGCTGTAGCAAGAGTATCTGAGAGATTCACTAACGATCGACTTCTTTAGTTTGGATGCAGTTCTGAATTGAGTTCACTAAGCTGTACACGAAATCCATCACTAGGTCCCATCTCTCAATCTAAGTCCAATCTCTTCATTAATGTAATATATTTTTCATCATTATTTGCATTCAGTTTTCGCTACTATTGCATACATAGTCTAGTAATCTGTAGCAAGAGAACCTGATAGATTCACTAACGATACCCTTCTTTAGTTTGGATGCAGTTCTGAAATGAGTTCACAAAGCTGTACATGGAATCCATTACTAATACTAGGTCTGATCTCTCAATTAGGTCTAATCTCTTTATTAATATAATATACATGTTTTGTATATATTTCATCATTATTTGCATTCAGTTTTCGCTACTATTGCATACATAGTCTAGTAATCTGTAGCAAGAGAACCTGATAGATTCACTAACGATACCCTTCTTTAGTTTGGATGCAGTTCTGAATTGAGCTCACAAAGCTGAACCAGGAATCCATCGTTAGGTCCAATCTCTCGATTTTTTCTGACCGCCTGGGTTGCTTCCTGAGCGGTCATCCCACGTCTGATCATGAGGTATGCAATGGCTACTGTCGCTGACCGGCTAAAGCCAACTACACAGTGGATCAAGACCTTAGCTGTAGAATGAAGAGATAGAAAGGAAGATATGGATATAACAATAATACTAAGAATAACAATGATCAAAATAATGATTGTAGTAATAACAATAACTATTGAATATTAATAACAATACCAATACTTATAAAACTAAAACATGGTTCTTATACAGTGCTCATGTCTGTTTACTATATGCCCCGGTCACTCTACAATTATTACCCCGCCGTTATAATCTTGAAACAATAAAAAAATATCTTTTGTCCAACTGCTGAAAAAGATGTCTGTTTGATAATTGCTAACCTTACTCCAGCTTACATTGATAGGCTTCTCATGGATGGCTAAGCACTGATAATTTGTTTTGTTAAAAAGGATGTCAAAAATTGCCTTTGCTAAAATTTGGGTTGAATAGGATTCAAGATTTTCTTTCAAATAGGCATTTTTTGTTTGCCATTATGTTTTTCCTATCTAGCAACAACTAATGTATGCAATTTGCATTCTGACTATTGAAAAACATTCATTCATTACAAGTGAATGAAACAATTTGCAACAAGGCAATTAGCAAAGACTTATGCATTCGGTTGGAACGGAGACCATAAGATCAAACCTTAGGTTGGCCATCAAGACACTTTGACATGAATCAGTAAAATGCTAATGTTCAACGTTCAATGGCTAAATCTTTCTTGATCAATGAATCAAATTAAAGAAAACATTATAAATTACAAAGTAAGTGTATTTTAATAAATGTTTATGTACTGATTGAACAAAATATTGCAAGAGACAATTTGACATGAATCTGTAAAATGCTTTTGTTCAACTGTCAACGGGCAGATTTTCTTTGATCAAGGCGTTGAATTAAAGAAAAAAGGGATACAGAGTGGGTGTATTTGGATAAATGTTTATGTACTGATTGCAACAGAAGGTAGGATTGTATCTGTGTTTTCTTTTTCTTTCTTTTTGTGACTCACACTACATGGATGTATGACATAATAGAGTTTAAAAATCTTGGAGAAAAAAATATGAAAGACTTTTACCATCTTTTTGAGAAAGAGTTTCATCAATGAATTTAGCAGCTGTCTCGAAATGTTGCTTGAGGTTTGCTCGAGGGTCATCAGATACCGGTAGGCCACAGTACTTGATGCTTGCATCCTAGAATGATGGAGAAAAGAGAGATATTAGATGGAAAAAAAGAGAGAAATAAAAATAAATGGAGAACAAATAAAGTTTTATAAAGGAATATGACTAGTAGAAGGGTGGAGAGAGATAGAAACTTAGAAAATGAAAGAAAGGGAGAGAGAGACACACACACATACACACGCAGATGGGAGAGAAAACAAAAGAATACAATAATAATAATAACAATAATTATAATACCCTTTTAGATGAAATGATGAACATAATTTTTTAGGCTTATAAGATAACTAAATAAATTTGGACTATTCTCAATATCTTTTACCCTAATTTCGCTATAATAGAGAAGAAAATGCTGTGTTCATTAGGTATTTTAATTTATCAAAATCGTGCAGTTACTCGTGAGCACAAACAAGGGCGCTGCACAGACATAGGTGCTTGAGCCTCCAGCCATTTTTTGTTGGTGATTGTCCGTTGTCCTGATGTTATAGTCTAGGAGAGTAGTAGACTGGATGGTGAACAGCCCCTTGGTCTACGACCAGTCGGTAGTCCGTCTACTACCCAATTAGTCTATTCCCATACGATCTACATCCAGCCCGTCTACTATTCACATGGTCTAATAACAATTTCGTCTACTAATCATTTGGTCTAATGACCGTTTAGGTTAAAATTCATTTGGTCTAATTTCAATATGGTTCAATCTCTGATTAGTCAACTACCCATTTGGTCTATTGTTCATTTAGTCTAATAACCAGGTAGTCTAATTCCCAGTTTGTCCAATGCCCATTTTTTTCTACCATCCATAAGGTCTAACAATCATTTGATGATCATTATTTTTTATGATTATACCAAATAAATATTAGCCTGAATGTTTATTAGACCAAATGAAAAGTAGACAAATTGATTATTATTAGACCATGCGAACAGGAAACATGCTGTGTGAGGACCATATGGGATTAGACTGATTGGCTAGTAGAAAACTGGTAGTGGACCAAACAGCAATAAACGGTCTTGATACATGACTTACAACATAATATTCTTGATTAGTATCGACCCGAAACATTCTTGAAGGACCTTCTGCACAGTTGAGTACATGTGTGATACCTAGGGTACCTAGCTTGGGCAGGTCTCGCGCTATCTCTCTGCAAGATAAGAAATAAACAGTCAGACATCAAATCTATAATATCTTTATATTCCTGGGACAAGATGGAAGCATTGCATCTTTATTGATGTCAGTTTAATAGAATAATGTAAGATGAACTGTTTATTATTCCCCCCAAAAGGGATTAAGGTACAGTTGATAATTTATAGCGCCCTCATTGTTCAGTGTGAGGCAGTGTCTACATAAGGCATGAGGGAAAGTCAACCTGCTGTTGATACACATTTTTGGAATAACAATGCTGTGTCTCAATTGTCTTCAAAATCCATTAATGATTAGCCTTATGAAGTACTATTCAAATGGCAAACATTTGAGAGAAAGCACAGATTTTTTTTCTTCAAATAATATATATCACCAGGAGGGTGACTTTAGATTGACATCTTCTTGTTTAGCAATGGGATTTCATTGAAATATTAGGTCACGTAACCCAAGACTTCTTAGATTCCACTGCGTGTTCTACGAAAGAACCCAAAACATGATAACGTGATTACTAGTGTGATTTTTACAAGCCCTTGAACATCTCTGAAGATGTCCAGATTCTGACCGCTTTTACATGATTTTTTTTTTCAATCATCATTTTTCCACTCCATGATGTCCCACAATGTCTCTTTTTGTATTAGCATTAAGGGTGTTTTATTTTGTCTGCTGATTGGGGTCTATACACCTCAACAGTCTCGGCAGTGACCTACTTTTAAAGCTTATCTGCCATAGTTTACAGGAGGGATTAGAGCGCCCTGCAAGGTCACTGGACAGGTGGTTATCTCATCAACTCAGCTCTCAGTTAACATAAGAAAAAGAGGATCATAGGGGACCAATGGTCACCGATTATGCATTGTTTGTTATATAGAGGGCGCAAGTAGCTACAAGTAGTGCAGTGGGCCTTTAAGATGGATAGGTGCGCTTGATTAGAAACAAGTCATTGTTATCCTCATTTACTATGGAAACTGAGCCAATATTCATTCATTCATTCAGTAATCAACATGTTATAATCTACCAGAACTCAACCTTCTCTAGCTCTTTAGACACCCTGCAGGAATTAATGTTGGGTGAATGATGACACATCAGTGATGATATCATCTATTTACAGCCAGATAGGCGTTCAACTCTGTAGTAAAGTCAATGATATGAGTTAACTCCCTTCTTCCTCCCAACAGATAATATACTAAGAGAAGAAAGGATTCCTTCGAATCATCTGCTCATGGCGTCGGGTCAGGTGGTTGCTTAACTCGACCTTTAGTGAAAACAAGCCCCTTTATTCACGAAATGTCAGGGGAATTGTTTGTTAAATAAATCCCTCTCATCTACGAATGGTATGATCCCATTTCCATGACACTTTGTGAAAACCCTACGGCAAATCTACAAAAGGTTGTGTGATCTTCATTTTTTGTTTCACGAAAGGTTGTGTGATCTTCACTTTTTGTTTCACGAAAGGTTGTGTATAGCGCGACCACCGGACTGGACGCGACGATCCGATGATTCAAAGTAAGCCCCCCAAAAAGTGGAATTGTGTTCAAACTTACTCTCCACCTACAAACACACGCTCATAGACTTCATTGACGTCACAGCTCGGTTCAAACAGGAACCTTGCACCAGCTCTGCAGAGGGACTCCAGCTCATCAGGAGTACAGGAGGCGGTCTTGGTTGCCATGGTGATACGATGATGGCTGAAAGATTAGCATTTTGATTGAAATTAGTCAGAAAGGATTTTCAAAATCTTTTCCAATAGCACATCAATAATAATAGCTTAATACTGCTTTTTAGTTAGGTCCAAATTTTCAGGAAAAAAGAAGGATATTGCACAGTAGACATTTAATTCATCACGTCACTAGATCTACTACTAGTACTACTACTAGCACTCAGCTCAGCTCATTTTGAAGCTTATCCTTAGTCGACATGAATCTTAGTGCGTGGGACCGATTAAAAAAATCAAATCCGGCAGTCTTATACTTGTTTAAGTCGTTAAATCCATCTTCAATTAGTACTCACATTGTCACAAATCACACTCCAAATTGGGAGATACGTTCAGCCAACAAGAAGATATCACGTTCACTATAACTGTCACTGATATTAAGGGACGATCGCGATTGAGGAATGACATCAACTATAAATATAACTCTTGCTGTCTGCATTGCAATACATTGCGAAATGCAATGCACGATGATGTTAATGCTCAGTCAATGCTCGCTCTCGATCTCCACTAGCACGCGCGCACGCCCGACACACAATAACAGAGGCGGTGTGCTAGTAAATGGGCGGGGCAGATATTGCATAACGGCCGGTCTTATTTAGAAGTTTTATCTAGGAAGATAGTGAGGTAGTGCATCTGTGCATGAGCACTAAAAAATAATTTTGTCCTCGAAAATCTGAGGGGGGGGGGGGGGGGGGGGGGGGGGATCTCCCCCCAAAATAAAATTAACGTTTTTTTTTCCCAGGGGGGGGGGGGGGGGGGGGGGGGGGGGGCTGGATCCGCCACTGGTTAGGATGACGGAATGATTTAGGTTAAAATAAACCATATCATTTGCAACATCAACAGTATACGGAAGAAAAGGTAGTCCTGTTGGTCTTCCGGTCGCTAATTCTTATGGTTCTGATTTAAAAAACAGACGAAAGCAACTTTGAGGGCACACTAGCTAGATGGATCACGCGCAACATACTAGAATTTAGACCAATTATCAAGTAATCTTTTGAAAATATTCAAACTTGGTGCTGTGACCGGCTGACCGCAGACTGAGGAAGATTGTTCCAATCGATGAGTATACTAATTTGGCTGCATGCCATCTCAGATTGAGTCTGAATTGTTGCTTAAAAATTTTAAGTGATCTTTATGTATGATTGAACATTTTCTTGGGGAAAAGGATATATTCCTGATTTGGTGAGATAATTATTGCTCATATATTTGTTGGCCCTTCTTCTGTTAGAGCATTTCATGTTTTGCCAATCAATCGACCCGCCCACGAACCTGCTGAGACTCCGCCCCATTTATTGCGTCATCCTGATTGGACAAACTCACTTTTTGGGTGTGGCTGCAGATTCTGTATTCTGTTTGTTCGGCCGTGTGCAATTTGGTTTCATTCATTTCTTGAATTTACGACATTAGACCGGAGTGAAGTGTAAGTTTGAATAGCTGATTTGCATGAGAAATAGTTCTTTAAAATTTATGTGCCAGTACTAATATTCGAATTTATTTAGAACCTAACGTCGCGTTGCGTCGTTGAGGAAATAATGTACAATAATATTGTCCCACATGTTGAGATTTGTGTACTGCACTGCCGCAACCCTTTCTCACCCGCTTTCTACTATTCTAGCTTCGGTTGTCGGCGCTCGTTCAGAAACCTATCCAAAGTTTGATTGAGAGCTGATTTGATGAGATAACCACCTGTCAGTGACCATGCAGGGAGGTCTAATCCCTCCTGTCCAAACTAGTGCAGATGGGCTTTAAATAGAATTATGCATTCAATTAACTGAACTGATCTGGGGGCCGTTTCTCGAAACCGTCATAACTGACTCGCAGCGCCAATGAAGTAAAATCAGTGGTTATTATTATATAATAGATGAATGATGGCGGAGTTACCACCGTTTTACTTACGGTGCGGTGAAGTGTATGAAATGAGTCAAGACGAGACACAGAATAAACAATAAACTAACCATATATTAGACGTAAAAGGATACAGACTGGATGCTTGTCTAGATGCTGAACACGTAGCAGAATCCAGAAGTAGAAGTAGAAGTAAAAGCTCAGCTAATTAATGATGCTCAGCTATAGTGTAGATAGTAAAACCTCTGTACGTCGGAAGGTAACGTCCAGAGGATAGATTCTCGTCTCTAGGCTGGAAGTTGGTTTCCCATGTATACTCATCAGCTATCAAGATCTCGAATGACCCGGTGCTTAGGAAGTTGGATCATTGCTGCGAGTCGCGCGCCCGTAAACGGACGATAAACGAATACGTAAGCGCATCCAAGATGCATACATGTGTATATGTATGTGAAATACCTGCGCTCTGGTAAAATGACCTGCGCCTGGTCACACATGTATCTACGCGTTCACGAATATACAATGAGAGAACTGGCATAACAAATGCCATTTTACAACATAACTGCAAGATCAACGACATCTCGCCTCTGTCACGCAACTTGTCAGCTTAAGTGTTTCACAAAGCCGTCTTTGCCAAGATGAGCGACAACTTCCGCAACAAGCGAGTTGTTACTGCTCCGAACCTGTCATATCTTTTTAATTGCTGTAAAGTGCCATCACAAGTCAGTTTGTTGCTATTCCATAGGCCGCAAAATGTATGATTAGTTTCACGATCATTTTGAGAAAAATATAGACGAGTTCGGTAATTCTCTGGGATGCGAAATGCAAATGTAAAAAAGGGATAATACAAATTATACAGAAATTGTAAAAAGCTGAATATAAACATTAAATCACAAATCATTAAACTAGTCTATACCATATAAATAAGAGAGATAAGAATGTTACACACCGTTTTCCATAGTCGATCTACAGTAGTCTTTTCTTAGGATACCGTCATACCTTTAGGGCCTATGTGCATTATTATTCCCTCTCTAATTACTTTTTCCAAATTATATTTTCAATATCAAATCAATTATATAACAAGTATTTTTGGGACTCTAGAATAAAAACTGGCTGAGAAAAGGTATTTTGCCTAAAAATCCTCGTCACAATAAACAAAAAAGTATGTGGACCTATTGATAAACTATCTTATTACGGTATCCTTCAACTAACTTTTTATTCGACTGTCAAAAAAAAACACTCATCGGTTTTTCTTCAATTTAAGAATCTTTACAGAAATATGCAAATCGTTTGGTGATCTACATTTGATAATGACACTATTTATTACTTATTTTAGGAGAATTTATACATGTATGTATATATTTCTTTTTGATCAATTTTAGCCCCAAAACTTGTTTTGGGTTATTCTTGATAAATCAAGTGGATCGTGACAAAGACTATGTTCTTGAGCTGCTAGTATCGCGATATATCGATATCATGTCTGTCATGGCTTTGTGAAACAGTTTATCCACTTCATGACATCTCCGTAGGTCGCCGACAAAGATATGACTGTCATGGAGTTGGTTTCGAGAAACGGCCCCCTGAACTGTTGATATTACAATTATTTTGGTAGATCTTATCTGCTGCCATCATGGGTGGTAAGATGTCATGCACGCCTCAAGAACTCGTTCTCATCTGTGAAGACAAGAAAGGTGCCTTCAGTTTCCCGACCTTTGATGCGGATGAAGTCTATGATCGTGTCTACGTAGGAGGACAGTAAGTTTACCTTTTTCCTTTCTGAGAATTTGATAGGGAAGTCCACCGTGATATTAATTTCGCTTTTTATGATAATAGAAGAAGAAAAGTGAGAGAAATGGGTGCAGGCCAAGGAAAGTTTGAGCAAAATCTGATAATTTTTTTTTTAAAGTTGCTATAATCAAATACGAATTGGCAACTATGTGACGTATCTTGCGAGCTCCTCTCCATTTTGCTCTGTATCAACAATTTCATTAACTTTCATTTTCTTTGTTATTAATGACGAAAATGTTTTTGTCCGTATACAGTATAGAAACATACTGGTAATTGCGGGTTTAATGGTTTATATTGAGGGTGAATTTGTGATTGAAAATATGGATTTTGAAAGTGTTTGACTGGTTGCACCTTCAAAAATTGTTTTTTAATCAGAATTTCCTCAATCTTTCACCGACCTGTCCCTCTCATTTTACTGCTTCAGGGTGGGCGTCCCCTTTCATGGATGGATTACCCTTTCTTCCATGCTGTGGGGCCAATCCCTTCCAATGTACAAAGTGTTGAACATTAAGTTTGGACTCTAGATTTTTAGAGAGAAAAAAGGACACCATTATTGTAAAGTTAATATTTTATGGATACTGTCATTTTCAAGTGAATTTGAATTTGAATTTATTTGAATTTGAATTACAATGATTTCTAAATGCTTACCGTAAGCCTGAATTCACAAAGCAGGTTTACATTTAACCCATGGTTTAAACCTTCCTTTACACAACCCATAGTTTAAAATTAGCACAAAATAAGTGCAACACAGTCAAAGAGGTCCAATATTAGACGCGGGCAAAGCAAGGTACGCTTATTTTGTGCTAATTTTTAAACCATGGGTTATGTAAATGAAGGTTTAAAACATGGGTTAAATGTAAACCTCCATTGTGAATTTGGGCCTTAGAGGCTTGGAGGAGGAGTCAATGATGTTATCTGAAAAATATATTGTCTGCTGACATTGGGTGGCCACCTCTCCATAAAGGCCACCTGTCCATAGTGGTAGGTGGTCACTTTCTCTGTTCCCTTGAGTGGCCAAACTAGCTCTATGCATCTATGTATGCAGATGTTTCATGATGTCCCTTTGTTTTTACAGACAGACGGCAAAAGACAAAGCCAAACTACAAGCTCTAGGAATCTATGGTTACAGATGTTTCATGACGTCTCTTTGTTGCGTACATGTAGATAGACATCAAAAGACAAAGCCAAACTTACAAGCCCTTTGCATTTATGCATACATGTATATGTTTCATGATTTCTCTTTGTCTTACAGACAGACAGCGAAAGACAAGGCCAAACTACAAGCTCTATGCATCACACATGTACTTAACTGTGCTGAGGGAACAGAAATGTTCAATGTTGATACAAATCAAGCTTATTATCAGGTTAGATTTCTTTTAAAGCACCACCACACTACTTACAGCTACTTGCACCCTCTATATAGCAAACAATGCCTAATCGGTGACCATTGGTCCCCCAGGATACCCTTGTTCTTATGTTAATTGAGAGCTGATTTGATGAGATAATCATCTGTCAGTGACCTTGCAGGGAGGTCTATACTCCCTCCTGGCCGAACTAGTGCAGTGGGGATTTAAAGATGCACAGTAGTGGATTTCATTGGGAAATCAACACCTTTTAGATGTTTAGCCAATGAAAGGTGTTGTCAATCACTAGGGACCCGTTTCACAAAGCCTTTTATCAATGACAAAAGTCAGTGACAAATCTGCTGATAACAGATCAGAAGCAAGGATGTCAGTAGCTTATAACAAGAACTGTCATTTGTCACTGATGACAAGTTTTGTGAAACGCCCCCCCCCCCCCCCCAGGCCTTATGTAATGTTTTACAATATCTACCCATCCCCCATGTGGTAAAGTTGTTATCTTACATTTCTCTTACTAAAGGCTCTTTGAGAGACTAGGGGGTATTTTTCAAAGTCCATAGTGGAGGTGTAAACCATAGGTAGTAGACAATATTTCGAGAGAGAGAGAGATAACCTTTATTATGTAATTCTGGCCCATAGCCTTTGGAAACTGTGTTCTTGTATTAACCATATGTTTATGAGTATTCACTCACAATGGTTCTTATTATTCAAATAATATAAAAAAAGTCTAGTACACTGCATCTACCGCCACAATATTAAGTTCACTGCAAACAGATTGTAGAATGAATGAGAGAATTTAGAAGTCAGTGGATCAAAAAAAAAATTCTTTTCTTGTCTCTCCTTTATCGGTCGCTTTCTTTTCATCCGCTTGTAGATTCCTCATTCTTGAAACAGCTTTACTTTTCTCTTTTTATTCTTTCTCTATGTCTCAATAGGCCATTTTCATAATGTAATCAAAGTAAATGCACAGATCTTTGTTAAAGGCACACTGCACTACTTGTAGCTACTTGCGCCCTCTATATAAAAAAAAAATGCCCAATCGGTGACCATTGGTCCCCCATGATCCTCTTTTTTCTTATGTTAACTGAGAGCTGAGTTGATGAGATAACCACCTGTCCAGTGACCTTGCAGGGCGCTCTAATCCTTCCTGTAAACTACGGCAGATAAGCTTTAAGTGCCTTGTTACAAATTTGTATGAATACTTGAATTTCAATATTTAGAATGTGAATTGCATGCATCCCTTGTTGGGTAAGACAAGCATTAATGTTGGTCCTGCCTAGCAAAAAGCTATGTACATGTATGCAATTTTCAGTGTGACTATTGAAATACAATTATTTGTATTAAACAGAAGAATGAAATAATCTGTAACTTTGCACTTGCTTCATGAATTGATTTTGATTGCATTACAAAAGTGGTCTATTTGTCTAACCTCTTATCTCTTCCTTCTCTCTATCTTTTCAGGAATACCAGGATACAAACATTAAATACTGTGGTCTTCCAGTAAACGATGTACCAGGAGCCAACATGAGGAAACATTTCAATACAGCAGTCAAGTTCATAGATGAAGCTCTGGAACAAGAAGATGGTAAATAAAAACATTTCAATACAGCAGTCAAGTTCATAGATGAAGCTCTTGAACAAGTTCAAGTTCAAGTTCACTTTATTCAATACTTTCATTAAAAATATACAAGGAAAGCAAACATATAAAAGTTAGAATATAATACATGTATCAATATATAACATGAGGATAACACAAGTGGAGAAGACATGATGGACAAGGGAAAAAACATTTTAAACATGTACATTAATGAAAGTATTTGGAGACTAGACAGGAAGGCCGGGCCTTATGTAAAAGTCTGTCTCCAGTAATTGTATAAAAAACTAAGTACATTATTTAAATTTTGTATTTGTTATAAAAAGGAAGAAAAAAAAGGGGGAAAAAATTGCATTCACACATACACTCTTTCCCATACACACCAACACACACTTTTCTGTCTGATGAACATTAAGAATATAGGTTATTGCACTATTGAGTATTGTCTTAACAGGTACAGTTTAAATTTTCTTTTAAAACTATTTAGTGATGGACTCAGTCGAATATCTATGGGTATGTCATTCCAAATTTTATTTATTCTTATTAAGTTGAAAATATTGTAAAATAGTATTTGGTAAAAGTTTTTTAAAGCATAGATACATAAAAATTGCACATTGATAAACATAAATATCGTTTACTTTAAAAAAAATTAGGTTGTAAAAAAGAGGTAAAGTATGAGCAAGGTATTGGCTGTGCGATATAATTCTTATAATTTTCTTTTGTAAAATTAAAAGCCTATTTGTATTTTGCATACTAGAGCATGCCCATACAAGAATACAATAATTTAAGTGGGGTAATATTAATGTATTATACAAAATTATCAATATTTCTGTAGGTAAAAATTTCAATTTATAAAATATACCAACATGTTTAGCCAATCTATTGCAGACGACACCAGTGTGTTCTTTCCAATTTAATTTATCATCAATTGTGACTCCTAAAAAAGTTAAATGTGTAACGTATTCAATAACTGATTCCTTAACTTTAACCTTTATTTGGGTAACATCAATGTTTTTTTTGGTAAAAATCATGAAGTGTGTTTTTTTAATATTGATTACAAGTTTATTTATATATAACCAATCAACCAGTTTAGCAAATTCTGTATTAAACATATTTTGAAGAGATACAATATCTTGATGGGACATACATGTAAACACACTAGTGTCATCTGCAAATAATATCAGTTCTAATACTTTTGAAACATTGCAAATATCATTTACATATAAAAGAAATAATAATGGCCCAAGAATTGAGCCCTGGGGCACTCCACATCTTATCGCCATTGTCTGTGATTCACATTTTTCTAGAACAACATATTGTTTGCGATTACTTAAATAACTTTTGAACCATTTCAGTACAATACCTCTAAAACCATAACATTCCAATTTTTTTAATAATATTGAGTGATCAAGAGAATCAAAAGCCTTGCTAAGATCTAAAAACAGGCCAATCATTATTTCTTTATTATCAAAGGCATTTGTAACTTTATGAATAAAATCAGAGATGGCAGAAGAAGTAGAGTGTCCCCTTTGAAAACCAAATTGTTTGGGAGTAATAATATCGTACTTTTCCAAGAATTTATATACACGACTATATACACATTTCTCTAAAATCTTTGAAAAAATAGGAAGAATAGATTTGGGCCTATAATTTGATAAATTATCATTTGATCCATTTTTATAAATAGGAATAACCTTTGCAATTTTAAGTTTGTCTGGGACAAATTTTAAAGATAAATTGATAATATCACATAAAGGGTAACATAAAATATGAATAACATTTTTAACCAATGTGATATCCACTCCATCAAAACCAGGACTCTTGCCATTTTTAAGTTTAGAAACAATATTAATAACTTCTTTTGGTGTACACGGAGTAAAAAATGCAGATGAATTATTTTTTATTACATGTTGCATACAATCCCCAGAATTTACAAAAGAAGAAGACAGTGTATGGCCTATATTTACAAAGTATTTGTTAAAAGCAAATACAAGAAGATGGTAAATAAAAACATTTCAATACAGCAGTTTTCATCGATGAAGCTCTGGAACGAAAAGATGGTAAATAAAAACATTTCAATACAGCAGTCAAGTTCATAGATGAAGCTCTGGAACAAGAAGATAGTAAATAAAAACATTTCAATACAGCAGTCAAGTTGATAGATGAAGCTCTGGAACAAGAAGATGGTAAATAAAAACATTTCAATACAGCAGTCAAGTTCATAGATGAAGCTCTGAAACAAGAAGATGGTAAATAAAAACATTTCAATACAGCAGTCAAGTTCATAGATGAAGCTCTGAAACAAGAAGATGGTAAATAAAAACATTTCAATACAGCAGTCAAGTTCATAGATGAAGCTCTGGAACAAGAAGATGGTAAATATGCGTAAGAGTATTTAGTATCATTTTCTTAACAAGCGATGGCTCAGTGGTAGAGCAGTGATCTCCTATCCTGAAGTTTCCGGGTTCAAAACTAAGTCGATGCTCTAGTGCCCTTTGGTAAGGCATTAATCCTCATTACCAAGTCCCTTAGAGAGGAATTACAGTCGTCGGTCTCCTGGTTGTTTACTTACAAGCGTGCACATGCTTTCTTAGCAGTCAGGTAAAACATCAAACAAACAAGTATTTTTTTTTTTGGAAGGAGGAACTAATGGGAGAAGATAGAGGAGTAGACCAATCGGGACATAGACTGATAATATCAAACAGTAGACGGGAATGTCATTTGAGTAGCTGAGTAGAACAGTTGACAGAAAGTTATGGAGAACGTGTGTCTCAAGGTCCATTTTATTTAGCATTGCTGCCATAATGGTGCTCTAGCAATACATTAGGATTTAATTACTGCCTGGGTGATGTGTTATAAATGTGAATAAATGTCTTGCCATAGGACATTAGTGCTGTGGTTTGATCCGAATCACAAACCATGTGATAACAATTCTGGTGACTACACCACCACCAGGTGAAGTTTAATTTTTTCTCTGATTTGAGGAGGTTCGAAACCAAATAATAGCTCTTGTGCCCTTTGGTAAGGCATTACTCCTCATTGCCAAGTCATGCAGAGAAAACTTAAAGCCGTTGGTACCTTGGTTGTTTACTTACAAGCATATACATGCTTCCTTAGCAGTCAGGTAAAACAATCAACATCATCATCTAAATATCATCAACCTTTTGTCTTGTTTTCTATGTTTTTTTTGTAGGTAAAGTTCTAATTCACTGTGTAGCTGGTTTTAGCCGGTCAGCGACGATAGCCATTGCTTACCTTATGATCAGACGCGGGATGACCGCTCAGGAAGCAACCCGGACGGTCAGGAAGAAACGACCTATCGGACCTAACGAAGGTTTCCTCAAACAGCTATGTCAGCTTAATACAAAACTATATCCACTATAGACTTGCCAATTTCACAGAAGATCTAGGTCCTGTTTCATGAAAATGTCATCAATAACAAATGCTAAATTTGTATGACATATTTGCTCTCAGCCAATCAGATGCCATCATTTAAGTATAACAGTTATTTTAACTTGTTATTGATAACAAGTTTTATTTAACAAGAATGGTATTGTTAACAAGTCCTGCAGGCGTAAAAATAGTACTTTATAGACGGATTGGTTATAAGTTATGACAAAGTAAAATGTTCACTGTTGGTTACTCAAAATTATTTCAGTAGACACGAATGATGAAAAAAGGTTATAATTCATTGTTCTTTACTTCTTTGCTAAAGATTTAATGGGGGCCATCATCATCGTTTGCATTTGTTGATTATGTTAATGTTGTTGTTGTTGCCAAAGGGCTTGTTGCTGTTGCTGCAGCATCTGTTGTTGCATCAGTTCAAACCGACGCTGTAAGATTGCTTCTTCAGCTTCCCTGTCTCTCTTGTTCCTCTCCTGTTCCTCTCTATCTCTTCCTCTCCATCTCTTCAGCTCCCCGTCTCTCCTCTTCCGCTCTCCTCTTCATCTCCTGCTCCAACTCCATCTATCTCTATAGAAATGTAAAACTATCTCGCCCTTTGTTTCGCTGCCTTTTTGGAGTGGCACTGGTGCTGCATTCACCTTGGTATCTAAAATGCAATATTAAAAAAAATGAGAAAAAAGAAGTGTCAAGTGTCAACCATGTAAGATATTCAAGAGCATGCATGATGTGGTGCGGGTTCTGCATTTACCTAGGTATCTAACATGAAATATAAAACAACAAGAAAGTTATATGTGTGTTGGGAGGGAAGGGGATGTAAGAGAGTTCACCTAGAATTTGTTAAACTGAAAAACCTTTCTAAAAAATATCTCTTCCTAGTTTCTCCTAATGTTTCACATGCTGACCCCCTTTCTCTATGAACCCAGTAATACCGGTAAGTCATATTAGCAACACCGTGGTCTTTCCTTGTCCGGCTGGGGCCAAAATGAGGATTCGCGCTGGCAGTCTGCCATTTACTTTCATTGAAATTATGTCAGCAACAGAACCCTGGAGTATTTTCTTCTTGTTCGTGTCTTTTCCACGAGCGTCCTTCTTCACCATTGTGACAACTTTGTGCATATCTTTGAACTCGGCATAGTCCTTCTGATTCCATTGCTTCATTTGGGTTATGCACAGTTGATCCAGGTACTTATTCTCCAACTTTTTGTGTCATTGCTGAACAGTTGAGGATTCCGAGATCTTCTCACTGGGAATATCTGAAACGATACAAGCATATAACACCATGTCTTATTGCACTCTCGCAATCTCAGCCCCTTCCTGCTCCGACCTCTTCTTTTGCTTATCTCCTCTCTCCTTCGATGCCAACTCGATGTCCTCCTCTGCTTGTATCATCTGCTCTATGGTCTCTCTCTTATCCCTTTCTCCTCCGTTTTCTCTACTGCGATTCCACTTTCAGCCTTCTCCATATTGTTCCTTGCCTTTACTTGGTCTTTTAGGATGTTGATATGATCTCTATCAGCTCGAGAATCCCATCTCGATGTCCTCCTCTTTCTGTATCATTTGCTCTATGGCCTCTCTTATCGCTGAAACTGAAAAGTAGAGGAAACAGAGAATTTTGTTTTATTATTATCATTTTGTAGCCTCAGCTGAATTACATGACAATTTACGATCAATTTAAAAATAACATCACATTTCATTTCTAAACAACTGAGATTCCACCTGCAGCCTTCTCCATATATTGTTCCTTGCCTTTACTTGGTCTTTTAGGATATTGATATGATCTCTGACAGCTTGAGAGTCCCATCTTGATGTCCTCCTCTGGCCTCTTCCTGTATCATCTGCTCTATGGCCTCTATTATAGCTTTTCCTCCTCTGTTTCCTCTACTGCTATTCCACTTGCAGCCTTCTCCTTATGGTTCCTTGCATTGACTTGGTCTTTTAGGATATTGATATGATCTCTATCAGCTCGAGAATCCCATCTCGATATCCTCCTCTTTCTGTATCATTTGCTCTATGGCCTCTCTTATCGCTGAAACTGAAAAGTAGAGGAAACAGAGAATTTTGTTTTATTATTATCATTTTGCAGCCTCAGCTGAATTACATGACAATTTACAATCAATTTAAAAATAACATCACATTTCATTTCTCATCAACTGCGATTCCACTTGTAGCCTTCTCCATATTGTTCCTCGCCTTCACTTGGTCTTTTAGGATATCGATATGATCTCTGACAGCTCGGGAGTCCCATCTCGATGTCCTCTTCCTCCTGTGTCATCCGCTTTATGGCCTCTCTTATACCTTTCTCCTCCTCTGTTTCCTCTACTGAGGCTCCACTTGCAGCCTTCTCTAAATTGTTCTTCGCCTTTACTTGATCCTTCAGAATGTGGATTTGGTCCCTCACCGCTCTGGAGTCCACCTTCAACCCCTTCCTCTGCATGCCTTCTGCCACCTGTTGCCATCCTCTTGCCTGATCTCCAGTCTCGTATTTGTACTGGAAGGGGTTGGCCAGTATGCCTTCCCCAATGAGTACCGGTATGTGTATACTGGTGTTGTCCCAGGACATGCTGCAGTACAAGGAAAAAACACAGATATATGATATTTTTGTGCACAACAAAAGGTACAGTAGTCAGTGCATACGTCAAAATCCACTGACCAAATTGCAAATTTGAGACACGCTTCTATAGATATAGTGATCTCATATTTCAAACTCTTATAACTTTCTTTTTACTGGTCGCATTTATTTAAAACTTTCGCCATATGCTGATTCTCTTATTTCTGCTTTCGTACTAAGTAACAAAGGACAAACGTTGGTTTGCCCTTTGATTAAATTCCAGTTCTGTGTGCCTATATCTTGCCTTCAAATTAATAGGACGGATTTGCAATAATCTTGTTTTTTGCATATATAAAAATTGGTCTAGTTATCTTGTGTGTGCTTTTTCTCCCGTAAAGATTTTAAGTACTAAGAGGTTATAAGTCTTCCATAAGTTCCTTTGCCTTTTAAAGACTTGTAAAACCATGACACAGTCAACTGTACTTTGTATTTTGTACTGTATTTTGTTTTTGTTGGGGGGGGGGGGAGAGAAACAGCCCCAAACCCCTACCCCATTCCCTTGTCCTCTAGAACTGCTGTTGCTCCTAGGCAAGACATTAATCTATATGTGCCACTTTTAACCCATTTGGTCATTAATATTAAAGAGGCTAGAAAGAGGTTTATATACACTATTCATTTTGATAATTTATAGCGCACATATCCACTAAGCAAGAAGCTCAAGGCACTTCAAATGTTACCCCAGCTCTACCGATTTCAGCACTAGCAGCCTTCAAGGAATTCCTTGCTACCAGTACCCTGGGTAGAGAGTGGCAAATGTAGATTAATGTCTTGCTAAAAGACAAGCGTGCCTGGTAAAAGCTGAAAGATTACAGGGTCATGCACAAAAACGTAGAAAACACTGCTGAAAAACTGTCAGGGTTACTAATTGTAGTAGTCAACAATTACAATAGTTGATGATAGACCCTCTTGCTTGTTTGATGCCTTTAAATAATAGTCTTTCATGTATAATATAGAGTTTTTATATTATTCAGTTGCAATAAATTTGGTTTAAAAAAATACCAGTTGTATAATGTTTTAATATGTATAATGTGTTATTATATACAATTTATTCTTTAGGAAGAGAAGAAGAGGAAATGAGAGAGAGAGAGAGAGAGAGAGAGAGAGAAGAAGAAGAAGACTGAGTGGAAATAAAGAGACAAAGGTAGGGAGGGAGAGGGGGAAAGAGAAAGAGAGATGGAAAGAGGTAGGGAGATGGAGAAAGAGAGTGAAAAAGACTGGGAAAGAGAGTGAGAGAAAGAGTGAAAAGGGGGAGGGTGAGAGAAGGTTATAAGGTACAGTGAGAGATATGTCGAGAGATAGAGAACGAAAAGAAGATGGAGAATAGAAACATTCAATGGAGAATTAGATGGACCAAGTTCTGGATAAGAAAGAATGAGAGAAACATTGATAGACAAGGAGGTTGAGTAGAAAGCATGTAAGTAAAATAGGTTAGAGACAGACACAATAACTTCAATGAAAGTGGTAAACAAAATCATTATTCCAACTTTTTGGGTAACAGTGTATAATAAAACGCAGGGAAAGAAGAGACATTGGACGACAGGGGGGGGGGGGGGTTAAGGGAGAGGTCACAAGAGAAATAAGAGGGTAGAGCCTAGCGAAGCGGAGTTTAAAAATTAGGGGGTGTGGTCTTTTAGAATTAGCAATTACTTTAAGATGAGTTCCATGTTCACCAATTCACTTAAATAATATTATTGTCTTTACTAAGCTGATTGTGAGGACGGATCCGATTATTACGAAATTTAAGCCAGCAGAAATCATGAAATTCGAAATCTCCATTTCTGACCCATATATTCGAGGGAATATTAAAGCTATATATTGTTGCATAGTTTAGTTATATCATTATAATAGTAATGGCAATAGGTCCATCTATATAACGCAGCCACTATATGAATATACCCTACATCGCTTGATACAAAGTACCATATTGTTAAGCCTACATGTATTTATTCACGAATTTTTCCCACACTGTTTTTTAAAACGACTTTCTCTTTTCATACTTTTTTTAAAAATCAGAATGGATTACATAACAAAATGTGTGACAAATGGTCGCAGTTATCAGTTACGTCGATTTTCTTAGACATGTATATAGGGCAAAACGCAATTACTGAAAATCTAGAGTTTAGAACCCTTACAAAAAAGTACCATGGTAACCATGTTTTTTTGTCGAAATTACTACTCACCATGGTAACCATGGTTATTATGGTACCAAAACAATGAAATACATTGGGTCAGTACCAAAACAATGTATGTTATTGTTTTGGTACAATGACAACCATGGTTACCATGGTGGATAATAATTTGGACAAAAGTACCATGGTTACCATGGTACTTTTTTGTAAGGGAAGGCTTTGAAGAAACAACGGGGGGATCATTCAGCGAGGGAAAGATGCTTTACATTGTGGCCCACTTCATCTCGCATGCAGTTTGCCTTGAAGATATTGGGGGAAATAACTAAGGAAAGTAAAAGCATAGGAAATAAAGAAGAAGAAGGAGAACGAAAGGGCAAGATAGACGAAGAGACAGGGAGAGAGAGAGAGAGAGAGAGAGAGTGAGAGAGAGAGAGAAAGAGTATGTGAGAGAGAGAGGTAGATAGAGAGAGAGCGAGAGAGAACAAGGGACAGAAAGAGCAAGAGAGAGAAAAAGACAACGAGAGAGAGATATATATCAAGAGAAAGAGAGAGAGAGATAGAGAGAGGTGAAAGAAAAAGAGATGAGGGGAGGAATTATATAGAGAATAAATTGAGAGCCCTTATTTTATAAACACGTAACGTTGTATTGACGTGAAATTAGTTTGCATATTTAATGAAAACGTGACTTCAGTGGTCTTTACAATATCCATCCAATCACGATTTTAATAACTTTGACCGTTCGCCATAAAGCACTTGTAATCTATTCCAGATTTGTATATATTTTTTTCTTCATTTCTTTCTCTTTAAAGAAATGAAAAGGTAAAATAATAAAGACCTGCTCTGACCACCCTTGGCTCGTTTCCAAGTTTCTTTGCATAAAATACCGACGAACCAAAGAAATAGACCAAGTGATCGTTTACTTTGATGGCTGCGCTTGTCATTGTTAAGAGCGCTAAAAGACGACATCGCTAAAATGGTGAGTTTCTTAAAAACTTTAGCCTAAACATTACGTTTTTTGTCTGCTTGTTTGTTGTCTATTTGTCATTTACCATAGTAAGTAACGTACGTAACTAAAATGATTATACTGTTGGTGTAGCTGTTAGCCAATGCCTCCTCTTTCCCTTCATATTTGTTACAATACACCGATACTTATATACAATAGTAAAGATAAATATACATCGACTATTCTAACCTTTCATTGTCTTTTGCTAATTGTAAATTTCTCCATTTTGATTATGAAAAATATATGCACCTGTATTTGTACGGCTCATGGCGTGTTCGAGGTAGCCATTTAATTCTGTTTTCTTATCTGGGACGCACTGAATATAATTTTAACAAACACGTTCATGTGAATTCCGGATGATAAACTTAGATGTTGTCTTATCCGCATGTTCAGCTCTGGCTCTACTGTTTTGAATAGTTTCCATTTACAATTATGATGTGTCACTTTAAATGCAATTCAAAATAATGTCCGAATGTTCTTTTTGGGGATTTACAATTTCCATGACCCTGCCATTTGATTCAATTTCAACATTCATTATTATGTAGAATTCAAGGTAATTTAAATCGCCATTTTTAATATTGTGCAGAAAAAGACGTAACAGTTAGGGGAGCCTTCCAAAGTTGCGACTGTGCCCGGACGCGTCGGGGCGCGATGAATAGAACAGTCGCGTCTCAAGAGACGCATTGAGGCGCAAAGGGGCGCGAAGGGGCGCAATAGTCACCCTCATCTGATTCTTGCATATGAAAAGAAACTGTCTATTGTTGGTATAAACCCGCTCTATTCTTCTTGCGCCCTTTTGCGCCCTTTTGCGCCCTACCAGGCGATGGAAGATTATCTTTCGCGTCATTGTTCTCGCTCGGGATGCGCGGTACAGCTTAAACTTGATATATAGCAAGTATTTGTCGGCCAAAGCCTGTCTTCCCCTCCTCCGGTTCTCGTTCTGATAAACATTCCATTGTTTGTAAAAACTTGATGTATTCTTCTCGCGTCGCGATCTATTCTTCTCGCGCCGTTTTGCGTCGTAACGGGCGGGGTATTATATTTCCAATCATTGTGGAAGCTTTGCGATGTACATTGCTACAGCACAGCATGAACTTGTCTGGTGGGAGCGTCTTTGTTTCGGGGGGCAATCAACACACATTTTATTTTTGTTGGGTTTAATACGCCTCCTTTTAATTTTTGTGACGACTGTATGAAATGTGAAATAAAGATGACTATGTACGATTAATGGCTGTTTAATTGCGAGCTTGATTGTCCCCAACAACAAAAAAATAAAAGGCGAATGATGTGAATGAATACATGTATGCGGTTATAGTCGGCAAATTGATTACTGTTTAGGACGCTTGTTATGTTTGTAATTTGAATGATTATCAACATATTTGTATAATTCCCACATCGCGATATTATTCTAGCGTCCTAATAATGGACAAAGGAATTATCTTTCCCGTCATTCATTTTGACGCTACGCGTTGCCACAGCCTGAGCTTGGAAGAATATATATTTTGTCAGTAAAATCCTCTTTTTTTCTTCTTCTCCTCCCTTGACTTGGTTCTAATAAATTGAAGGTTTGCTTATTAGGGATAAGGAGGATAACATCAAACAAAAGATCTACTCAAGATGACGCTCTTTTCATTTCACCTCGCTGTTTGATAAAGTAGAGTTCTGTATGGAGCGAATACAAAAGAAAAGTTCGCTCTAAAGGAAAAAACATAAAATGCTGTGGCAGGATATCACGCCAGAGATTTGCCTTCGAAAATTGCCCGTCCATAATGCGTTTTAAATCGTAATAATTCCATAGCTCTTTTTAAAAGCGGAATGAATAGTAAAAAAGAGTCTAGGAACTATATCGAGATTATAAAACATGTGTGTCATGAAGATGTAAACAAAAAGCGTAGCTTGATGGCGATAAAGTTGAGCAGCAAATGGAAATGCCATACAAAACATTAAGCAGTTCATGGTGATAATTTATCATTCGACTTCTACTTTGCGCTATATGTACTAAATGATCGCAAAACGGGCAGGGACACAAATACAAACATCGATTTCTGCTCTAACATTCGAATCATTTATTCGTAGATTTGTATAATTAAGTGGCGAAAGTGAAATTTTGAAATCATACTGCACAGATACAAAAACATACCAAACATGTTTTGATTCTTAATAATATTAAATAAAAAATAAAAAAAATAAACGCAAATTTTAAAAGATCTTTTTAAAAAGAGGGAGGCGCTTTAGCCCAGTGGTAGAGCAGAGCAGCTCGTAACCGGGAGCTCCCTGGTTAGAAACCAAGTCGATATGCTAGTGCCCTTTGGTAAGGCATAACTCAACATTACATTTCGTTCGGAGAGGTCTTAAAGCCGCCGGTCCCCTGTTTGCCTAATTCAGAGCATATGCTTCATGTAGCAGTCAGGTAAAAAAAAAAAGCAAATGGTACAGGAAGCTACCTTTTATGGATAGGCCTAAATTGAGGTTTGACTTAACTAGGGAGAAGAAGGATAACATCAAACAAAAGATCTACTCATGATGACGCTCTTTTCATTTCACCTAGCTTGAAGATAAAGTAGAGTTCTATGGAACGAATATAAAAGAAAAGTTCGAATGCTGTGGCAGGATTTTACGCGGCCGAGCAAGGCTATTGTTTGATCGCTATAATTGTCCGACTTGCTATAGATTCTTGTTTAGGTACACTATTAAGGCTGCGTATTATGTGTGTGTGTGTGTGTGTGTCTGAGGGAGGGGGGCGGCGAAGTGAACGGCCGGACGTAAATGGCAGAGGCCCATCAGGAGGGCTCCGCTCGCTAGTTATAAGGACCGCTATTCATTGGACAACTATTCATGAAGACCGCTATTTGTAATTTTAGAAC